AAAAAAAAAACAAAAAAACGGAAAAAGTTGTCTCCAAAAAAAATATTCTCAAAAATCAACGCGACTTTTTAGTCGGTTGAAACTTACATTTCATTAGACTAACATTTTTTTTGGCTATAAAACTTCATACCCGAAAATTCTATAAAGATTCAGATTAAAAAATTTAAAATCTCTTGTATTTCTAAATGTTTAATAAAGTTTGAAACTGTCATTTATATGGTTTTGTTTAAAGCTTGAACGGAATTTTTATAGAAAAATACCCGCGATGCCCTACGAAGTGTCAATTCGCCCCCGCTGCATCCGTTTTTCGATAGGTCTGAACTAATCCTAAATTCAACAAATGGGAACTAGGTTGCTTGCATCCTTTTTTCTAAAGTGCTAACCCAGTTCGATAGACGAAAGAAGTAAGAGTCATTTTGGATTTCCCATGGAAGCGCTTTTAAATTATTTTCTAAGAAATGCGTTTTTAATTTGAAATCAAATTTTTTTGAATGAATATAATTCAAGCTGAGCATTTCGATATTTCCGAACTAGTTCTAAATTCGTTACCTTGGATATAGATTTCCATGAAAAATTGTTGATTCTTTGGAATTCATCACATTTTCTGTGACTATATTGGACTTAACGAATTTGCGTATCACTGAACAGAAAGGGTTAGAAATAAAATATAATTTTTTAGAAAGTGGGCTTAGTAGACTACTTTTCACTCTTATCTGGCGATATGTAGTTATTGGAGATAGTAGTACGGAACTAGAAATTTGGTTTGGAGTTTCCGTGCAGGGTAGGTATTGAACATCTACATAAACACTCACACTCAAACTCACTAAAATACGAGCACTTGCAATTTATAAGCCTCAAAAGTCACACACATCATAAATCACAAAAATAAAAATTACAAAAAATACCAACAAACAAAAATTACATAAATTACAAAGGCAGCAATCACCGTCGGCAGAGCAACAGCCAAAATTTATGAGTCTCTCGTTGATTATTTCATTTCATTTCAAAATTCAATTCAGCCAAAGCTAAACCGATTAACGCTGGCGCACGCTTTCTTGTGTCTTGTGGTGTTTGTGTGTGAGTGCGTATCCTTTTCTAATAAATTCAAGTAGACTACTCATCTTTGCCATAACGCGCTCGTGTCGACCTTTCTGCTTGCATACCTTAATTTTCCAGTGGAAAGGTATAAATTGTTTATGAGTCTCTAGTTGATTATTTCATCTCATAGATTTTATAATCGACAAAAGGGATCTTGTAATTTTTCATATTTTACACTCAGCGAAACAATGGATTTTACTTAGTTTATAATGTTGTGCAATACAATGTATGTACAGCGGTGAAAGAAATAATAGAAACTTTTTATTTTGATCAGTTTTGGCTATACTACCTCCGGTTCTTCGATGTTTAATCTTTTTTTATAAAATTCTAGCGCATTAAATAACTCGCTCCATATATCTTAATCAACATTTCAAACTTTGTTCAAAAATTATAAAAATTCAACAAATTTTTCCAATATTCAAATTATCAAAAATTTTGAAATTTTTGGGAGATTTTGTTAAATTATCTTGAATTTTTATAATTTTTGTACAAAGTTTGAAATATGAATTTATATGGTGCGTGTTATATAATGCGCAAGACCTTTATAAATAAATATTAAACATTGAATAAACAAAAGTAGTATAGCCAAAACTGGTCAAGATAAGAAGTTTCTATTATTTCTTCCACCACTGTATGTTAGACTTGTTACCGATGACGGAAGTCCAGAATGCCGTTGGGCTATCCATAGTAATTTTTTTAACTCAAAAAAATTTAAAACATCATTTTTTTTGGTATATTACACAGGGCAACGCTGATTACGAATCTGTAAGTATAAAGTTTTCATTAGCTTTTGAGAAAAACGTGGTCAAAGTGTAAAAAAA